GATAATTTCGCCCATTTCCCTTTGTGACCCGACCAGGTCGGAAACAATGGAACCCGTTGGTTCCTTTGGCCAAATTTTGGCGATTTAAGTTGAGCCACCACCTAGGAAGTACTCCATGACCTTCTGTTTACCATTTCCACCCTAAATCCGAAGAAATTGGGCTCGAAATCACGAAGAATCTCATCAATGGGTGCAACGGACCATGCTGGCGATCGGCCATTTCCGAATGCAATGACATCGATCTTTACCATCATTAGACTCTCCTTAAGGTTAGGAACAAATCCCAAACAACCTTGGAGGCGGCGGAGCACCGAAGAAGTCAAATCGAAGCCACCTATTTCTAGGGTTTTCGATGGGTTCGTGGCTATTTAAGGCTTTTCCCGGCCAAATTGGCTTTAGTCACAATATGAAACTTGCTCCACTCATCGAGATCTTCAATCTGGTAAAATTTGGTAAATTTTGGAATTAGTTGAATTTTCTAGCGAGTCGGGGCGGTTAGCCTCCATGTGCGGTGACGTGTGGGCCGAGAACCCACTGGACCATCCTAGGATAATTTTGATGCCCCAATTCCCTATTTGACATTTTTTTTAGTGAAATTCTGATGTTTTGATTGCCTAGTTGGCCGTCACTTGATTATCATATGAATTGACGATCCAACCATTGGATCGATACCAAACTTTAATACGTAATAGTATGAAATATTTCAGAACATTAGGAACTGACGAATTGGGAATCCGATGTTCAGATCTTCCCGAAGTGGACTTCTATGTTTGTAAAATCAAACTTTGACCGCCACTTGAATTTGCTATTGGCGGAGATCCAACCATTGGATCGTAATGAAATTTTAGTATGTTGTTCTAGAAGCATATTGTGGACTTTGGAAAGCTACGAATCAGAAATCTAATAGGCGGATCTTCTGATTTAGATTTCTAGGGTTGTGGACCATACTCTCGACCTTGATCAACGGTTGCCTTTTTAGTTAACTAGCCTGAGTTCTTCTAGTGTGTCGGTTATCTTAGAGTTCAGTTGAGATTTCATGGAGTTTGATGGGCTCATCGTGATGACATGTCTCCTCGGTTAACGTGTGACTCGATTCAATACTAGTGGCATCATATTATATTATACCTGTTTATTAAGTATGTTTTGATTTGTGCATTGAAAATGTTTGTGGAATGTGATTTGATTTGTATGATTGGTATGATGTGATGAAATGTGAGGGCTAGTAGTGGACTGTCAACCCACTGTCATGGGGATTTGTTGCTTCGATATCGTTTCATATCTTGCCTCATTGATCCGTTCTAAACTTAGTACTTGTGCTTTGTTTCATTTCATTTAGCCTTCTAAACTGAGTACTTGGTTCTTGTATTGTTTCTTTGAGCCGTTGCTATATTCCTTGAACTTCTGCTCAGTTCCGTTGAGTGATCCAGAACTGGGTTTTCACTGGGCCCCTTTTAGTGGTCCAGTTCCCTACTCCGTCTGGATTCCTTTGAGTGGTCCAAAATCGTATCCAATTTGGATTTCATTGAGTGATTCGATATACATTGTACTCTGCGATTCCATTGAGTGGCCCGAAATCATATCTGCTCGGATTCCGTTAAGAGGTCCGGAATCCCTTCCACTCCGTGATTTTGTTGAGTGGTTCGAAATCGTATCCTGGTTTAGATCCCGTTGAGTGGTCTGGAATCCCCTTTGATGTCTTGGTTCCGTTGACTGGTCCAAAACCCGATGTTGATGGATTTCGTTGAGTGGTCTAAAATCGCATCATTTGACTTGTTGGTTCCTTGGATTTGATTTCAGCTTCCTAAATGTAGGATTCAACCGAACTGTGTCGCTTTAGCCCTGCATTTCGGTGTATGGTATGTGTTATTGATTGATGTGATTGTGGAATGATGTTGGAAAACATATATCTGTGAATGGTATACCTAGGTGCATGGCAAGATGATAATTGTTGTTTGGCTTATGGTTGATGTGTAGTGTGGTACTTTATGTTTTCTATTAAAAGTATTTTACGAAAAGGTTAGAGTTTGATGAATGATGAACCACGAATGGCTTGATCCCTATTTAAGGTACGTAAGCAGTCTAACAATGACATTAGATGCATCCATAAAGTGAACAAAAAATTTCTATGCAGTTGGATTGTAAGTTGTGCTTTGCACATATCCTGAAGGTGTGGTATGTTAGATCTACATGTAATTGGTGACGTCACGTGTCGATCCTAGACGTATGTCGGGATTGCGGTGTGACAAAAAATGTCTCATACAAGATTTTTTATTTTTTATTTTTAAACAAACAATAGTATCTCTACACTAAGAGTGAGAGAGTGAGCTTTGATTAAAATTAATTTTTAATATTGTCTTGTCTTACTTAAGATTAAAAATTGATTTTAGTTCCTAGACTCTATTTAATATCAACGCATGCATTCAATGTCTCTTTTTTTAATAATTTTAAACTTTTCATGAATTAAATTTTATAAAAATATTGTAAATTTACTACTCTTTTGAATTCCAATGAATTAGCTCTTATTTTTTAAGATTTTGCATCACCATTTCATGCCAAGTATCTTATATAAAAAAATATTTTCATAGAGACTTTTCAGTACACATGCACGTTGAGCATGCCAAATATAAGCTATTATATCTAAGATTTTATCAATCTATTGTAATGATTGCATGCATTACGATGATTCAAGTAATAAAAAATGTTAAGGAGACTCTCAAAGTAGAAATCTTCATGAATCTCTACTACTCATATTTTGGGTACAATATTTTATAATATTAATATAGGAATCGACGTTAAACTGTAAAATAGCAGAAAGTCTCCTAAGCATATCTCTTCAGGTAATATATTATACCTAGGAATATAGTAACCTTTTATAAATAACCCATTTGTTGATTTCCTCCTCTCAACATTGTATAGAGTTGCCATTTCCCCCTTTGGCGCTGTTTTGAAAATTTTTGTCCAATTTAATTTTCTTCCATTTTGGTCATCCGGACAACACATGACAATTGTATGAAGTAAAAAAGATAATTTTGTTTTAGAAAATTGGGCACTTAGCCAATACTTTGTAGCTACATTGGACTCCCATGACTAATTCAAACAGAAAGTGTCGAAGCTAACTAGTGAAAGATAAAACTATGTTGGAGCCAACTAGTGAAAGAAGAAGAAAAAAAAAAAGAATAAAACATCAGTTTGTTGTCCATATAGGGATAGAACTACTTTATTGCCCTCAAAGGTCTACCATGTGACCAAAATGGATAGAAAATTCAGAGAATTCCAAAATTTAACACCAGAAAAAATTGGCTAATAAAAAAGTTGAGGGGATAATCGGTTAAAATTAAAATTCATGGAAAAAATTAGCAGCTCCTTACAAGTTTGGGAGGAAATTGGAAAATACCTCCTTATAAATTAATACATTTACGTAGTGCCAACCACTCGGGTTAATCCAGTGATGAAGGTGAGTTGAAGGATGGATAAGAATAGGTTAGGTTTAGAATTAACCAAACGTATCAACTATTGGCTCGGGGGAAACATGTCAATTATTGCATGGGTTACATGAATCTGTCATCCATCTTTATTTGGTAATAAAGTAGCTAATAAGTCAGATTTGAATAATGTTATCATATCCCCTAAAGATTTCCAATTGTGTCTAGTGCTTGGCTGGGGGGAAACATGTCAATTATTGCATGGGTTACATGAATCTTTCATCCATCTTTATTTGGTAATAAGGTGGCTAAGTCAGATTTGAATAAGTTATCATATCCCCTAAAGATTTCCAATTGTAGGTAGTGCAGACCACGCAAGCAATAGAAACATGCAGTTGCAACCGGCGCAGGGTGTTGCGTTTCTACACATACGTGATAGTTCGAAATCTTCCTTTTAAATTATTATAATAATTTCAAACTCTCTCCTTCTTTAAAAAAAACAAATCTATGATGGGTTTGCTACTTGTAGGACATGCAAACAAGAAAATTATCCCCCTCCCCTTAACAATAATAAATTTAAAAAAAATAAGGGATGGGTTTGCTACTTGAAAAACATGCCACATGTAAAATATTGGAAACTTACGCCACACACTTATCTTTGATGTAAAGACAATATTGGTTCGATTAGTCTCTAAACAGTGGTCATACTTAACAGTAAACATGTTAAAATCGATTATTACTTTATTATTAAAGTTTAATGTGGTGACTTGTCATGATCTGTCAATCTGATACATGTTTTACTAACGAGGGCGCGTGATGAAGTGAGGTTTAAAACATTATAAAACATGTAGAAAGTTCTAAAAATATATGATTTACAATACTATTTATATACATGTGATTCATGTGCAAGCTTAAAAGATGTCGTACAAACTTCCATAAAACAAAAAGACCAAATGTTTAGCTCCACATATTCAAGTGAAACTTGATAAATCGTGCGGAACACAAAAGTAAAATGGAACAGAATTTTGTTGCATCAAGATCAGTGGACTCATGAATTGTGTTCTTCATAATCAGAATATATGATTAAACATAGTGCCTTGCTGGAAAAATAATAGAGCCATTAAAAGGAAAAAGCAATTAACTTCTTCGATCGTAATTACAAAACCAATTCCCAGTCAAGTGGTGCGAATTGGTTTAATTGGTGTCGATTAGTTGGCCCATATTTTTAGGAGCAGTGCTGCTCTTTTGTTTCTATCAACGATTGGGAATTGTCTCCTTGTTGCGAGAGACAAAAGGAAGAAAAGAAGATAAAATATAAAAAGGATATGTGGCACCAGTTAAGGAGAACCTCCCTGCACAACACACACACACACACAGACAGGGAGAGAAGCCGAGAGCATAAGGAAGAAGGAAATGGAGAATTCAAAAGTAATGCATTTATACAAACACACTTCACTATTTGTCACATAAACTGACACTCGCTGGCTCGCTCTTTATTCTAGTACATATGGGATATAATAGTAGGGCCACCTATATTCGCTAGAGCGTGTCCACATAATTTTATTGATACAATACTAGTAGGAAGATTTACTTTCAAGGGTAAAGTTCAATAAGAGACCTGAAACCAAATGTATGAGTGATGTTATAATGAGTGAAACTAGCAGCCAAAAAGATCTTTTTCCATTCTGATTCGCTACGCTCTTTGCCAGTGAAGGCAGACATCATCAACATATCAAACATTAGTTGGGTTTCAATTGATTTCTTATCCACCATCTTCTCCTTGTTATCGACATGTCCCACAACTATGTCTATGATGATAATCTTCTTATTCCCTTCATCGTTTTTGCTCAGAAGTATTGCTTCTCTACACTTCTTCAATATCTTCACGCTTTCTTCATCGCTCCAATCATGCAGAATCCACTGAGATATAGATTATTAATTAATTTCATACGTTACCCAATTAGTCACAATATTTCCACAATTAATCTATAAATAAAATGAGGATATGTGCACACAACTACATCAACAATGTATACACTTGCTTGTCTGCACCTTTTACGTATCAATAATCCTATTTAAATACACTTGTTCATAATTTGTTTAATAGAGGTGGGAGATGTTTTTACTAACAAAAAGGTTATTAATTACGAAATTAACTAAGAAACAACAAATAATTGAGTGTTATATATTACGTACCTTGAGCAAAATTGCATTTGCTGGGGGTATTTCCACAAACATGTCTCCCCCGACAAAACCCAAATTATGGGTGGTTCCTTGCAAGTCAGCCACCACATGTGGTTGGTCAAACACAATGCAGTTGATGCTGGGGAATGCATTGGCAATGGCCTTGGCCATGGCTCCTGTTCCTCCTCCAACATCCACCAGGGATTTCAAGCCCTCAAAAACTCCTCCACACTCTTCCACCACCTCCCTTCCGAGAAGCTTGGAGTCAGCCTCCATTGCTTCATCAAACAAGTTACCGAACCTTGGTTCCTGAGCTGCCAGATCCCAAAAGGGCATTCCATTTTCCATTTCAAATGGTGTACATATAGTAGCTGGATCATCACCACCGTTCATCTGCAACCAAGCTCCCATCAAGTGAAATGGGGTTGTCAATACCTGATAGAGTAAAACCTAGTTAGAATTCCTTGTTCCACACGTATTGTAACTAAATATAAATATTCATTGTCATTAAATCTCAAGACTTATGATGTATATATAAAGATGCGGTCTCTAGCTATCAATATTTTTTGACTGAAACCTTGTAGGTTTTCGGTTTTTTATCGAAGTTACTGACATTAATGTAATGGTGTGGTTCTATGTAGGCTATTACATTTTTAAATTAAAAATTGAAATTTGTAGTTGGTTATATTAGTGAGATTTTAAATAAACCATAATTTGTGGGATTAAAAAGATCAAAAGAATAAATTATACTCTCCAATAAATTGTATACATATAGACATGGGTAGATTCATTAAAAATACCAAAATTTTTTTGGACCAAAACATGAATACATTTTTAAAAATTACGCAAAAAAAAAAAAAAAAAAAAGAAGATATGAGGCTTAGTAACATTATTAAATTTCTTACTTGACATGGTACATTCTCAAATCAATGAAATAGAATGTACCCATATAAGTTTAAAAATGGATTAAAAAAAAGAAAGAATGAATTATATATATATATATAAGGGTACATTTTTTATTAGAAAATACATTTTACATATAGCAAATTGTATATTTAAGAATTGGTACATTTAAAATTAGAGAAAAATTGAAAAAAAATTTATGAATGGGTACATTTAAGATTAAAATTTTGAAAAAAAAAAATCATTTTTTATATAAAAAAAAATTAAATGGGTATAAACTTATTCTAATTTTTTTTTTTATTTTGGAAATGTTTGAATTGAAAATTAATTAGGTAATAAGGGCGTGAGTATTAAACCCTAATCAACTACTAATTTTTATTTTAAAATTTATATACCTGACATGTAAATTCATTAATGCTAGGAACTTCAATCAGAATCTAAAAACTAATAAGGTTCCGGTCAATGAACATTCGTCCATAAGGACCAGCTACTAATTTGTCCTATAAATAATATATATCAAATTCAATATACACTACCGCATCGAGTATCATGAGTATAAGTGGTGTGGTGCTTGATGGCCCATCTTTGAGAAGAAGCCTAGAAGTTGGAGTAAGGCTATACAATATAACAGCTTCTTCTTCCTCCACATCGTCACAATTATGATGAACATGATGATGTTGTGCAAAGAAATCGGAGTGGACGAGGATGCGCATCAGGCGTGAGACGAAATGAGCTCTCGAAGGGTGGACATTCAGCGCAGTGATGAGATCGGAAAGAGAGATGGGTTGGCCGTGGTTGTGAATCACGTCTGGGATGCCTAGTTGAGCTGCACATTTGAGTGCCATGGAGTTTATGAACTGGAACATGTGGTTCCAAATCTGAGCTTGAGCTCCAAGAAGCTCATGGCTAGTGGCACCCACTTCACCATTACTCAAACCCATGTGTGCGTGTGTGTGTATTTCTATGTAGTAAGTCTGTGGCTTCCAGATTATATATTTTGATTGATTATTCTCTTGCTATATTAGTTTTGAATACATGGGTATGTGGATCGGGATATATATATAGCATTGCCCAGTGCCCACATGCAAATATTGAAGTGAAAAATCATATTACTCAACACTCTTTCACGCACACTTTAAGCATGTCAGTTTCCAATTATTCACACTTTGAGCGTGCCAAACATAAGCTATCTAAGATTTTATCAATCTAAATTGTAATGATTGCATACATCACTATGATTCAAGTAATTTATTATAGGGAAATTTTATGTGAATCCGTATAACTTCTTTCTACGCAACTTACTCTCTAAACCATATTATTTTAAATTGAACTATCAATATGTCTTTAAATTCAAATTTATTACCTAAACTACCCTCACAATCTCCATTCATTATGTAAATTTATCTTCACACTCATTTAGAAAAGGCTTAAATGTCAAATTGGTCCATGTGTTATAGTCATATGGCCAATTTAGTCCTCGTGTTTTCGATTTAACTAATTTAGTTGTCATGTTTGTCTAGGTTAGCCAATTAAGAACATTTCATTCAATCTTTTTTAAAAAATTCATAAGAAACATTATATGAGATATAATTTGTCAGGCCTCGAACCCGAGGTTGGTGGGACCCCACACCCGGTGCGCGAGTAAAAGTAAAACTAAAACTAAAAACATAAAACAAAGGTTCTCTTACACAAGTAAATATTACAAAATCCATATAGAGTGTACAAGGCCTCGTTTGGCAGCTCGGACTATACTGACTATTTATGTCGGATAGGATAAATAGTCACCGGATAGTACTGACTAAATTAGTCGGGTGTTTGGTGCAGTATCGGACTAGTGACCGTATTATTTATACTGTGTTTGATATTATACTAGATAGGAGGCATCAAACTTAAAAAAAAAAAAAATTTAAAAAAATGAAATCATTTTTTTGTTCCTAGGTCTCTCCGCACCCCCCAAACACCCTCCCTCTCTCTCCCTTCTTCTTCCCCGATGATAGAAGAATCCCAAATAATTGTTCCCCAGCTCTCTCCGCCACACCCCCCAAACTCCCTCCCTTTCTCTCCCATATTCTTCTTCCCCGACTAAATAATCCGGACGTTTTGGTTGGTTTTATTAAGCGGGTGTATAGCGTATTATCCTGTCCGACCGGTTAAATTAATCCGGTGCTTATTTAGTACGAGTGAACGCCAAACACCCGGGTCCGTATAATTAATCCTATCTGATTCTTTATCCGATCTGCCAAACAGGGCCTTAAATCCCTTGTTTAACTCAATCTCAGCTCGTCTAGCACTTGTCTTGTCAAATAACTTATGTGTAAAATAAAAGGGTGAGGGGTGAGCAACAACCATCGTGGCTCAATGAGTAGAATATATAATATGCCAATCAAGCGATGTCATTTTAGTCACTATAGAAAATACAATAATAGTATCAAACCATCATGCACGTAATGCCATATCACATCATCCATTTACGTGTTCATTGTATCCTTCATAAATATTAACTCACCACGTGACTCCTATTGGCCATTCTACCCTAATGTCCCCGTGTGCAATTTACATTTATCCCTCGAATTAATGCAACACTAAAGTTCTCATGCTCTATGAACAATTCTAGATATCCACATATTACTATATTAATAATTCCGAAAGCATTTTCACAAATCCAACATGCTTAACTTGCAATAGAGATATTTGAAAATAAGTATAATTTGCAACACATTACATAAACCACTCACCATGATATTCCTAGCTTTGACAAGATAACCCATCTAACAATCTCCACACACCAAACCCCTAATTTTATCGAATGTTCCTGGATGCTTGCTAACCAAATGGAGCAGCAACTCCTTGTTTTTGGGGCTCTCCGAGCTCTCTATGCGTGCAGAGGACAGGAGAGAGTTTGAGGGAAAGAGATATGTAAAATCGAGAGAGATGAATGGCTAGTTTGATATTGTTGTGCTTTGAAAAAAAAAAAACTGCTTCTGTTGTGCTATGAGAGTAAACAGCTATGAAATAAGGCAACAAAGTGTTTGGTAAATTTTTTTGTAAAAGTGTTTATGGAAAAAAAAAGCACTATTATAGTTTTTGGTAAACTTTTATGTAAAACAGCTGTAACTATGAAATGACCAAAAAATATATAATACTAGATGTGCCATTAATTTAATTTTCTCCGTCCACATTGAGTAGTCTCTCCCACTACCCTACTACTGAACCAGACTTTCCAAAAACCAAAAACATCTCTCTAGAAGTCTCCTCCACAACACCAATTTTCTCAGTTTTATTTTTTTTGCTTCAACTTCTTCTTTTTTATTTTATGCTCCGTTCCTTAATTTCTCTCACCTGTCATCTGATTTGCAGTACATACATGGTCTAGCTGCTCGAGGAGTTCATTATATACATAGGGCAAGGCCAACACTCTAGGATGCTGGTTTCTTTCTTCTTCTTGGACTAATCATTTTTTCTTTTTGAAACTGTGTACTGTGAATTTGATCATACATAGCAGTTTCCTGTATTTAATTTTGGGTATTTGGAATAATTGAGTTTTGGTGTCCGTCTGGGCAATCTAGGCTCTCTTAATTTGCAAAAATATGAAGATTAGTTGTCTGTAAGTTGTGCTATCTAGGAAATCTGGCCAAATTTGCGATGCCAAAACCGAATATGGTTCTCGTTGGAAAAGATGGTGGTATTTCTCGGCGCGATTTTGTCGGCATGGGAGTGAGAGATGATGGACAAGAGATGGGAGGAATGACAGAGGTAGAAACAACGTCCTAAGGTATGGAATTCAAGGTCAATAACAGTGATTGTTGAAGCTAAAGTGAACGGCGTTGTGGCAGGATTGACGAGGACGACCTCCCAATTGAAGTCGGTGACGTGTTCCGGTTCGTATTATGTGTAATTATTTAATTGTTTAAGGTCATTTTGGGTGTTTGAAAGTTTCATTAAAAGGCTCAACGCCTCTTGCAAATTAGGTTTGTGCAGAAGTTGTGGAAGCAACAAAAGCCAGTTTTTCAAAGCTAGCTTTTGCTGCTTGAAACTTTTAGCTTTTTTTCACCCTAAACTATGAAAAAAAAAAAACTGAAGTTGAATGTTTACTTAACACAAAAAAGCTCCCAGCTTTTTTTGATAGCCACTTTTTTAAAATCACCTCAGTACTAAACCAGTACGAAGTGGGATGGTAGAAAATATAAAAAGAAAGGGGAGAGTTAAGTGGAAGTCAATGGGAAGGGAGAGTGAGGAAGAATATTATATTGGTTGAGCGGATAGGTAGAGAGTGTGTGTGTGGTTCGGCTAAAAATAGGGATAAGGGACGGGAGGTAGCATGTGAGAGAGAGATGTAATGATGATAGGTAATAAAATAATGTAATGGAATGATTGATTTGTTTAGTATGGTATGCACCGGTTCTTAAAGTTGAAATGGATCTAGCTTTCATAATTTGAAAAAAAAAAAAAAAAAAAAACGTGTTCTCACAATCTATGTGACAGCCCGTCCCGGAAATTTTAAAACGTAACGTGAAATGACGATTTTGCCTTAACGTGAATTGTCGCTGCGTAGTTGTTCTTTTGGCTTGGTGTGGCTGGTTTGGCACCACGCACTCACCCTCACTATTCTCTCCCTTTCCCTGCACCTGTCCCGAGCCCCATTCCTTTCCCATTTCCATTAAAACGTACAAACACACCCATAAACCTATCAAACCTCCACAGATCGAAGAAACCAAGCACATATTCTGACTCGTGAGGCTTGTAGGAGTCCAACCATGCCCATTTCAGGTAAGAACACCTTCGTTTTCACGTCGATTACACGATGTCCGATTTGAGGTACTGTTCATGCGCACGTGATTTCTCACGTTTTAGGGAATTTCAAGCTTGTAGGTAGCTTGGTGAGGTCCCTAGGAGGCTCGGGGTGGTTCGTTTGATGGTTTTGGACGTCGGGATCACTAGTTTCGAAGTTGGCCGGAGTTGGGTTGATTTTTCAGGTGAGATTTTGTGAATTTTAGCCCTTGAAAGTGGTATGATTGTGTTCCTCTAGTTCTAAGCTTCATTTTGGTACCAATTTTGTGAAATTTGGTTGAAAAACGAAGAAGATATCAACGTTTGAAAAATTCCCGATTTTCCGGCGCCAGCTACTGCGCCGGAGGCTCGCCGGAGAAGACGACAGAATATTCCGTCAAGTCTGACGGAATATTCCTGACACCGTTGACAGAATCTGTTAAATCTGACGGAATATTCCCTACGGCGTCAGTTGACGCCGTCAGCGTGCCAGGCACGTGCCTGCGCTTGGCTGGCGTGTGTGGCCGTGCGCCGGTGCGTGGGGGCGCGTGCGGCGGTGAAAAATTATTTTAAAAATATGGGGATGTTCGTGAGGTTGAGTAGATCACGTTGGTGTATTCATACACCCCATTTGAGCAATGTATGAGAAGTTATTTCTAAAGTTTGGTTATGTGCTTTAAAAATTAACATTTTTATAGTTATTTCGCATATAGGTGAGATGTATCCCGAGGACGAGCGTGGTCACTCGAGGTAGGGGGTTACGACCCTTCCACTTACCAGTGAGTGGGCTTTTGGTTTTCCGTATATACCTACATACTTATATTTTCCCAGAAATTGATTTAAATTGTCATTTGCCATATGCCTTGCATTAAATTATCGTTATTTATGCATCGTTAGTTGCATTATTAGTTGTATATATATATACATATGCATGTTGGGTGTTGCGGACGCACAGGTAAGTGCCAAGTAAGTGTTGTTCATGTTTACATTCAGTAGCGATTTGAGATGCTTAGAGAGCTCATAACCTGCACCCCCGGTGTGAGCAGAGTTTCCAGCAGTTGAAGTATTGTCTCACTCATGCACCTGTTTCGGCACTCCCGGACGATAGTGGTGATTTCGAGGTTTATAGTGATGCTTCCTTGAATGGTCTGGGATGTGTGTTAATGCAGCATGGTAGGGTGATTGCGTATGCTTCACGACAGTTGAAACCTCA